TCTCTAAAGGATTGAGGAACTTTTCTTGAGGTAGAGTGGGAGCAAGAGGAAAATTATAGGTTAGGAGATAAAAAGCCTTTTGGGCAGAGGAAAGATTGTGGTAATGGAGCCAACAGATCTCAAGGTGGGAAGGATACATTTATACAGAAGGAAAAACTCAGCTCTAACAAAGAATTCCTTGGGGCAGGTAAGACAGAAGAATAAATTAGGTACAAAGCACAAGAATCCCTGAAAAACTGTAATGTGAATGTAACCAGCTGTTTTCTCTGAGCTAGACATTCCATATCCACTTAGCTCATGGTCACCCATAATCAACATGACATTGGCCAAGCTTACAGTAGTCAGTCAACATTGTGTTTTCCATCTCTGTTACCGATACTTTAAAAAAAGATAATAAAGTCTTCTTGTTTATGCTTCTGTTTACCCTACTGTCTGTACTTCTTTTCTCTGGTTTACTTCTTATCATCCAAAAAAACCAAAAACAAAACAAAACAAAACTGGTCTGTAGTAAAATTTATCTGAGTCAGTTTCAACCCAGTGTTTCAAATACCACACATCCATACCACCAAAGCATTCCTTATTTCTTGATGTAATTAATATATCTTTATGCCAAGTTAATTTGAAATCTTGCTTCAATTTTCCCTTCATGCGATTAGGCACTTAAGAATTAGGTCTCACACGCCGATTTACATAAGTAATGAAGAACTTGATTTACCCTTTCCATGTTGGCTTTTTCCTCTATTGTGTAAATAAATGTTGTAATATACATGCAAGTCCTTTACCTTTTCTAGCACTTACAAATATTAATACTGAAATACCAAAGAGTTCTGGCTTTCATGGGTACATTGCTGCCACATCTTATCAGTTCACAAAGGAAGAAATATGAATTTCATGTGAAGAGGCAGGGTTTGGGAGGATGCTATTTATAAATGACAATTGCTGAAAAGCTAATGTGTTGATCAGACTTCTACAGCTTTGAAAAATAATGGAGGCACTCTCTCTCTGCATGGTTGTCACTGTATAGTCCAGGACATAAATCCATAGCATTTAAGATGACAAGACCTTGTATTTACATAGAGACTTTCTCCAAGGAATTCACATCACTCCTTAGGAATGGCTCCATTAATTCTTATAGCTTAGGGAACTAGAGTGGGAAGATATATTTTTACGGCCAGTTGTCATAAATGAAGAAACCATGCCTGAGGTAGATTTGTAACTTTCTCAAGGTCACTCTAGCCAAACTGAATTACCAGAAGCGTGGAAATCCAGAGTAGTATCAATTTCCCATGTTGGGGGAGGAATGTATGTGTCACATGGGGTTGGCGAGGAACATGGCTTTTCAGAAACTGTCTTCTATCATTTTTACTCCCCTGTGTCATCTATGACTGAGAGACGTTATCTTTGGTTAGCTTTTCCCAAATCACGATCCTCTGAACACGGGGCTATGCAAGACACCAGTAGACCTTCAAAAAGAAAAAAGGCTCCCATGGCCAAATAAGTGTGAGAACTGCTTCATGCTATAACCACTCCTTGGTGATTCATAATTCCTATTAGTGCAGTAAAAGCTCTGAGAAGCCCTGTAGTAAAGATTACCTAAGTTTGCTTAGTACACAGTCCCCCAGACTTATTTGACCGTGGAAGTAAAGCTTTTTTTATACAGCACCTTTTAATGATTTATAGAACTGCTTTTCAATGGATCACATTCTGGGGAAATTTATTTCTTCGATAAAAGCTCTGGGGAGGAAATGCTGCTCTAAATTCCTTTTGTTCTTTGATATTGCCAGGCCCACCCTCTGTATTGAGGCCTCATTCACAGATGACTTGGGTGGTGTCTGAACCTTTGAGATACAGCAGATACTCTCAGGGTTGAAAGTTATTGCCCTATGAGAGGAATGAAATGGTGTTAAAAACGACCAGGAGCAATGCCATAGCCTTGTGCTCCAATCTCCTTCCCACACCTGCCTAGTTCTAGTTTATTATACACTCTGATGTGGGGACATTTGTTTGGAATGACGGCACAGTGTGCTGTGTGCTGGGCACTGAGGGAATGAACAATCACAGATCAAGTAGTGAATCTGGTACAGCCCAAGCACCAAGAAGGAGTCAAGAACCAATGGGACAAGAACTAACAGGAGTTTAGCACTGTGGTACAGAATAGAGTATGGCTCTGGAAATTCAGGGGACTACAGAAAATGGGGAGACAAGAAATATGTCATTCAGACAGAGCAGTAAGAATTTTATGTAGACCAAACCTTAATAGACTGTCATGGGGCATCCCAGGTAAGGTTTCAGGGCAAGGGCAGGGTTCAAGATGAAATCCCACCAAGAAATTTCATTCAGGTTGCTCTTGTACATTGGTTAGGCAAGTCAGCAATAGCATGTTTTAGTCGTTGTCCTACAGGCTGTGATAAAAATGTTGCTTTGAAAGTTGCTAACTGAAAACTATTTGGAAAATAGGTGTCTGAGATAGACCAATAGCCAGCAGAAACTTATTTTTATAGGAAAAAAACACTATGTTGACATGATCAGCTGTCTTAATAAAAAAGATAGAGTGAGAATACATAGATGTTGGGTCATGTTCAGATGCTAATTCTCCTTCCCTCCTTCCTCCTAGCCAATCAATGATGTTCTCTCTCTCCGAACATATAGATCTTTTTTTTTCTTTTTTCTTTTTTTTCTTTTTTTAAATTTATTTATTATTATTATACTTTAAGTTGTAGGGTACATGTGCATAACGTGCAGGTTTGTTACATATGTATACTTGTGCCTTGTTGGTGTGCTGCACCCATCAACTCGTCATTTACATCAGGTATAACTCCCAATGCAATCCCTCCCCCCTCCCCCCTCCCCATGATAGGCCCCGGTGTGTGATGTTCCCCTTCCCGAGTCCAAGTGATCTCATTGTTCAGTTCCCACCTATGAGTGAGAACATGCGGTGTTTGGTTTTCTGTTCTTATGATAGTTTGCTAAGAATGATGGTTTCCAGCTGCATCCATGTCCCTACAAAGGACACAAACTCATCCTTTTTTATGGCTGCATAGTATCTCCACCTTGCTCGAGCGAGGCAGGAGCTCTTATTCTCCAAATGCTATTTTAATTCTTTTGGAATTAGATAAGAAGGGAGGCACCTGAAGGATATTATTGGAAAGTGACAGGAGGCCAAGTGGGGGAGACTAAGAGGGTAAATTGGGGCCAGCTATGAGGTAGGTGTGTAACTTTCTTAAGCTCTCTGTGGCCAAACTGAATTACCAGAAGTGTGGAAACCTAGAGTAATATCAATTTCCTATGTGGGGAAAAACTAGGAGGAGGACTTTGGCTCATTAGAGAGTTATATATCATGTCATGAGTTTTTGTTGTCTGGAATTTTGTTTGGATGTTGTCTGTGGGGTTTCTGTTTGTTTGTTTGGATTTCCTTGTCTGGAAATGAGGGGCCAGCAAAGTTTTGAAGTTGGGTTGTGGCATTATTGAATGTTACCAACCTGCTCAGCTATTTAACCACTCTTGCATTGCCCTCACCCTATCGTTCCTACCAAATGAAGGACCCTCTTCTCTGGGAAATAGCCCGAACCATACAGAGAATGAAGTAAATAAGATAGGTAATCATATTTAGTGAGTCTTAGGTCATGTTTAAACACGGTAAGTAAATGGGATTACTATATGTATTTTCTTTGATTATAGTAATAACCAAGAGGTAGGTTATTATTGTTATAATCAATTATGATGCACACTAAGCAAATGCAGAAAATTTAATATTAGGCCAGCCAGAAAATTTGTTGGGTTTACTTAAGAGTAAGTTTTCTGAAGAGCAGAGCGACCATTCTCTTCTGGGCTGGTGACCCTAAAGATAAATTGGGCTGTCTGATGGCCTTTCATTCCACACATATACTATGCATGGGTGTGTAAGTTCAATCCTCTAAGAAGCAGATGTCAAGACAGGATTAAATGTACATGGCTTTTGGAGCTGAGAAAGGCTGAGAGAGCCATTAGGCCACAATCCAAGTGTGACCTGAGTGAAGGGGGAGGACAAGAGATTTGGTGAAAAAATTTTAGACTCGTGTGCAGTCAAAAAAAAAAAAAAAAAGGTTTGACAAGGTTGTCAAGATGTCCCCCAACCAACCTTGGCCATCAGAGGTATTCCATGTCTCTTAGGAATGGGACTGCATTACTTAGTACCCATACTGGGCTCAGTCATTGGTGAGAAGCAGCCAGTGGGAGGTGTGCCCGGCACAAATGCAGTAATGAATTTCAAAGTCCAGCAGCTAGGACCCAGGTTCCCGGCAGCTGGAAGTCTGAAAGGTGCATTCTATTGGCTGCAACAATGTATATGATTCAAGCTTCCCCTGAGACTGGAGACTGTACTTCTACTTATTGCATTCAGAGGGAGAGTTTCACAAAGAAGGAGAGACTTGCGTTTAGAAATGGGAGGATGAGGGCAATTCAGAGACGGTCATGTTGGTAACATATGAACATGCCACTTGACTGCTTAAGTAGACTAGGCTGATTTGCAGCTCATTTTAATACATTCAGAAAGCTCCATGGCATCTAATGTCTTCCTGCTTAAAAAGAAAAGTGATTTTACAGAGAGGGAAAAGGTAAAATGTTATTTTCAATTTCTAGGAAAAACTGTCAGATTCAGGAAGTTTTTGACACTTCATTATAGGTAGAAGCACTTTGTGTAGTCTCTTTACATTCTATACTCAAGATAACTTTTGGACTGATACAATTGTTCTAAAATAATGCTGTCATCAAATGAGAGGCAAAAACAATTAGAAGACACTTTTGTTTGAAATCAGTATGACTGCATAAAATGTATTAATAAAACACAGTGAATAATCCTGATCTCTTGATAAATTGCCCGCTCTGGAGAGCATGGGCAGCTCTTGTAGCATCTATTGAGAAAACAAAGAAATCCTGTCAAGATGACATCTGCTTCTTCTATGGAACATGTTAGGAGTCATGAGGTTTTGAATATGATGCAGTTAGCAGCATCGTGTACTTACTTAATCAGCTGGCAAGGATGAAAGCTTGTCTTCCTTTGAGGGCCTCCATGGATTCTAGAATGCCGCTCACATTTGGATTTACCTGAAAATCAGCATGGCATTTAGCTCAAAGAAGCCAATTGAAAGTGCTATCCCCAACCTGGCATGTCTAAGGGCGTTTCTGGCTGTGTGCCAATTAACTGTGGTAAGATGGGGCTGGGGTGGTGTATCACTTAACTATGGCCACAATAATGTGTATAACAACCAACCACAGCATCAAACAACAAAACGGCAAATAACATTATCAGCAAACAACAAAAAGTGAGTATTTGGCTCACAAATCTGGGGGCTGCTTGGAGTCAGCTGATCTGGGCTGGGTTCAGCTGGGGGCAATTTGGTTTTGTTCTATGTGTTTTTCATCTTCCTCCTGGGATCAGTGGGATAGTCTAGGTATGTTCCTCTCATTTGCCATCTTGTGATGGCAAGGACACGAGAGAAAGCAGAAACACGAGTTCTTTTAAGGCCGAGGCTTGGAACTGACATACTGTCACTTCTGCCTCATTTTATTGGCCAAAGCAAGTCACATGGCGAAAATGACAGTCAAGAGGCAGAGAAGTATATTCTGCCCATAAAGAGGCCATGGCAAGGGTGTGGATGCAGAGAGTTGTGATGAATTGAAGCGAAATAGGGAGTCTACCAGAGGGACAAATTAGACCTGTCCACTTTGATCTTTTGTTTAATCCAAGTTACCCAGGAAAACTCTGGGTGACTCAGTCCCAAGCAGGGTACAGGTTCTTGACTCTCCTTCTGTGGTAGAAGCTGTTAGCCATTCACTAAAATCCATAGCCACTTCTTGGGAACACAGCTTTTCTGCCTTTCATGTGAGGTCATGTGACTGAGTTATAGCCAATTAAATTTCAGTGAAAACTTCATGTCTGGCCCAATAAACTTTCCTGTTCATGTGTCTCTATGAGCTTTTTCTCTTCCAGCTGACAAAGATGATGATACCTCAGGTTATCTCGGAGCCATATGTTGAAGGTGGCACAGATGTTGTCAACCTACTTTCCCAAATGATTGTCTGGAAATAGAGCAACTCCACCTCATTCTGCCCTAAGCCTGTACTTACTTTGGACTGTTATATGGTGAGAGAAATGAAGTTTCATTGTGTTGAACCATTATAGTTTTGGATCATTTAACAGCTTGCTTAGATTGACCTAACTAATGTATCTGTCATATCTCCATCTTGCTCCTTACCTCCTGTACCTGCTTACTCCTGACCTCTGGCTCACCTGTTCTCAGCTTTAGATTTGACTTTTCAACGTGATAATAAAATAATGTCTTCCTTTCAGACTCTTACTGCTTCTTCCTGGACATTTTTTTTTTTTTTTTTAAATTTAGAGCCTGTGGCTCTAGTTGCTCTGGGATGCTCTTAAAAACTACCATTCCATCCAGAAACATGCCAGCTCCCATAATTCTATCTCTGAATTATCTAGTATAGTTTATCCCTGCTGCTTGTCCTTCACAACAGGGGATCAGACATTTTGTCCCCAAACTAAACATCTGTCATCAGGACCACACTGGTGTGGAAAGAACATATAGGATTTAATGTAGAACATGCCTGGGTTTGAACCATGGCCCTGGTACTTACCAGTGGTGTGATTTTGAGCTCAATGTTTAGCTTCTCTGGGCCTCCATATCTTCTTTTGGAAATGGAGGTAATAATATCTACCTTATAAACTTGGTCTTAAGGATCAAATGAGATAATGAATTTATTATTTTTAGCACATTGTATCCAATAAATAACATTAATTTCAGTACCATCTTTATAATTATTATTACTATATGTGATAGATTGATTGCCCTGAATTTTCAGTCTTTTTTTTTTTTTTTTTGAGACGGTGTCTTATTCTGTCACCCAGGCTGGAGTATAGTAGCATGAGCTCAGCTTACTCCAGTCTCTGCCTCCCGGGTTCAAGCAATTCTCCGCATCCTGAGTAGCTGGGATAGTAGGTGTGCGCCACCATGCCTGGCTAATTTTTGTATTTTTAGTAGAGATGGGATTTTGCCATGTTGCCCAGGCTAGTCTCGAACTCCTGACCTCAAGTGATCCGCCTGCCTCAGCCTCCCAAAGTGCTGGGATTACAGGTGTGAGCCACTGCATCTGGCCAATTCTTTTTGTAACCATGCTCTTTGCCATGTAACTTTAAAGTCCTTCTCTGATTACCTCATTTTGAGTGGAGTATTTTCCCTCAGCCTTGACTTGGGCTTGGCCATGTAACTTCCTTTGGCCAAGCTGTGATGCATGTAGGGATTTTTAATCATTTCAAAATTATAAAATTATTATTAAAAATTATAACACCACTTTGTACCCCATAAATAAATACAGCTATAATTCGTCAATAATAAATAAATAAATACAATGTGCTAAGTAGGGTCTATTCTTTTAAACCCCTGCTATTTCCATTAGAAACACAGATTATGGCTAGCCTTCCAATCCCATGAGGAGGATGAGAGACATGTGGAGCAGAGCAGCTTCAGCCAATGCAGGCTGAAGCAGAGCCATCTTATAGCTCATAGATTTGTGAAATTTTTTTTGGAAGCTCCTAAGGCTTGAAGTGATTTGTTATATAGTGTTATTGTGATCATATCTAACTGTTACATTTGGAATAGTTAGAAGCCCATGTTAGAAATTTTGATAACCCTGAAAGAACCCAAGGTAACCTCATTTGTCTTGGGCCTCCAGAGATACCTGGGGTCATGTCTGAGCTCTGTGGCACAACTCCACAAGCAGAGTGCGTATGTAGAAGATGGGTAATTGTGAAAACTGGAAATCATCCTTACATCCTCCCACTGTGCTAAGCAAACCATTGCAGTGTTTTGTAGGTACTTGATAAATGACAAGTTGCTTCAAGTTGGTTATGTTTCAACCATTCTTTTTTATGTATGCCAGAAATTCTCAAACATTATTACTAATTAGAATTACCACAAGAGTTTCTAAAAAAATATTGCTGCCTGGGTTCCACTCCTGACCTACTGAATTTTAGGGGGTAGGTAGCACATTGATGTGTTTAAAAAATTCTCCAAGTAAAAGTAATGTACAGACAAGGTTGAGAAAAACTGACTTTTTTTCAGAGCACAAATTTCTTTTTCAATTTAGGTGAAATTCAAAAACATATAATTAACCATGTTTAAAGTATACAATTAAGTGGTAGTTAGTAGATTCATAATGTGCGATTATCACCTTTATTGAGTCCCCAAACATTTTCACCATCCCCAAAGGAGACCCTGTATCCAGTAAGCAGCCATCCTCTAATTCTTCGTATCCCCCTGTACCTGTTTACTCCTGACCTCTGGCTCACCTGTTCTCAGGTTTAGATTTGACTTTTCAATGTGATAAGAAAGTAGTGTCTTCCTTTTGGACTCTTACTGCTTTTTCCTGAACAATTTTTATTCAGAGCCTGTGGCTCTAGTTGCTCTGGGATGCTCTTACAAACCACCATTCCACCCAGAAGGATACCAGCCACCAAGATTCTATCTCTGAATTATCTAGTATAGGTTACCCCTGGGAACCATTAATTTGATTTCTGTCTATGGACTAACCTATTCTGGATATTTCATATAAGTGGAATAATACAAAGTGTGAACTTTTGTGCCTGGCTTCTCTTATTAAGCATAATGTTTTCCACCTTCATCTACATTGTAGCATGGGTCAATGCTTCATTTCTTTTTATGGTTGAATAATATTCCATTTTATGGATATACAACATTTTGCTTATCCATTCATTCAATGATGGACATAGGTTGTTTCTACCTTTTGGCTAGATGCTTTGAATATTTGTGTATAAGTACTTCTTTGAACACCTGTTTTCAATTCTTTTGGGTATGTTCCTAGGGGTGGAATTGCTGGGTCATATAATTCTATGTTAAATTTTTTGAGGAATCCTCAAACTATTTTTCATAGCAGATATACCATTTTACATTTTCACTAGCAAAGTATAAGGGTTCTAATTTCTCCACATCCTGGCCAACACTTGTTTCTTTAAAAAAATTATTATAGCCATATCATAATTGTGAGAGTTTTAAAAAAATACTCTGGATACTAGACCCTTATAAATTTTTCCACCATTTTGTGGGTTGTTTTTTCACTTTCTTGATGGTATCCTTTGATTCACAAAAGTTTTTTAATTTTGATGAGGTCAAATTTATCTATTTTTCATTGTTGTTGCTTGTGGTTTTGGTCATATCTAAGAATCCACTGTCAAATTCAAGGCCATGAATATTTACTCACATGTTTTCTTTTAAGAGTTTTTATAGTTTTAGGTTTTATATTTAAGTCTTTGATCCATTTTGAGTTGATTTTTGCAGATGGTATGAGATAAGGGTCCAACTTCATTCTTTTGCATATGGATATCCAGTTGGCCTAGCATCATTTGTTGAAGAGACTATTCTTTGAGAATCACTGATTTTGATAAGAAATTCTCACAGTTGTCACTCAGGGAGACTCGAGTGTAAGGCTTTGAGTGTAAGACTCTTTGTACTGAGTCCTTCATTGGAAGGAGGAGAGGTTCTGTTACAAAAAGAGAGAGCAAAAACAGGGACAAGTGGGGAGAATGGAAGTAAAATTGACACGGAAGTTGGCCTCTTAGAGAGATGATAGCAGTCTAGGAACATTGCCAAAGGAATGTGATAATTTCTAACTTCCAGATTTTTTGTTATCAATGAATTCATAGGCATGTATAGATCCATTAGGAATCCAGATGGCTGTTGAAAACTTGGCAAACAGTTAGCTATTATCCAGTTAATTAGATAGCTACCATATGCAGCAGAATCATACTTATTTGGCTAAGGGTTTGAAAATAGGGATCAGACTTGGGGAAGAGGCCTACCCAGAGCGAGGTTGGGCAAGGCAAGGTATGGTAGATTGATGATTAAAATGGCTACACTTCTTCACCCCTTCATGTATAAAGGCCTTTTGCAATGTGACTTCTGCAATGTGAACTCCTTCCATCAAGAGGTAAAGCTAATTTCTCATACTTTGAATCTGGGATGACCTCATGATTCTCTTTGGCCAATAGAATGCAGCAGAAATGACTCTGTGCTATC